AGATAAAGCAAAAAAAAAAAAAAAAAAACCATTAGATGCCATCTACAAGAGACATACCTTAAATCTGAAACACAAACAGTTGAAAGTAAAAGAATGGGGAAAAGATATACTATGCAAATTATAAGATGAGAGAATTTTCCAGAATTGAAGAAAAACATGAATCCACAGATCTATGGAGCACACACATGAACATATCATAGTGAAACTGCAGAATGATAAAAATCAAAGCAAGATCTCAACAGCAACCTGAGAGAAATTAAAACTGCCTACAAAGACAATCGGGTTGATAGTAGACTCCTTAACGGCACCAACAGACAGATGACAAAAGAGTATCTTCAAAACACTGAGAGAAAATAAATGTTAAGCTAGAATTCCCACAATAAGCTAAACTGTATCAAACAGTATGGGTAAAATATATTTTTTGTTAAAGTTCAAGTTTGCTACTAACAGATATTCACTGAAAAAATTACCAAGAATATAGGAGGAAACAATGAGATGTAAGGGGGTAAAGTGAGGAGTAAAAAAGGTAGAGATGTGAGTATATATAATCAAGAGCTAACAATATAAAAAGTAACAATAATAATGGAGACTAATTTGACAGGTTAAAAGGTAGAACTAAAATACTGGGCAATAAGTCCACATAAGAAAGGAAGAAGTCAAGGAAATTAAAGTGTCCTAAGATCACTTAAGTATTTGAGGTGATGGGCATGTCAATTCACTTGATTTAATTATTCCACATTGTATTCATAAATCATAACATTACTTTGTACCCCATAAATATATACACCTACAATTTGTCAATGTATAATAAAAATTAAAAGTAAAATAGGCCAGGCATGGTGGCTCACGCCTGTAAACCCAGCACTTTGGGAGGCCAAGGCGGGTGGATCACGAGGTCAGGAGATTGAGACCATCCTAGCTAGCACAGTGAAACTCCGTCTCTACTAAAAAAAACAAAAAAAAAAATTAGCCGGGTGTTGTGGTGGGCACCTGTAGTGCCAGCTACTCGGGAGGCTGAGGCAGGAGAATGGCGTGAACCCGGGAGGCAGAGCTTGCAGTGAGCTGAGATCATGCCACTGCACTCCAGCCTGGGCGACAAAGCGAGACTCTATCTCAAAAAAAAAAAAAAAAAAATTTAAAATAATAATAACAATAAAAATAAAATAAATACTGAAAGAAACCAAAGAAGAACTTAATGAATGGAAATACATCCAATATTCAAGGATAATAACACTTAATATTGTTAAGAATACAATACCCCATCTATACATTCAGGGCAATCCCTTCAAATTCCCAACTACATTTTCTTATAGAAATCAACAAGCCTACCCAAAAATCATGTGTGTACACAAAGGAAACACAAAACACAAAGCAATCTTTAAAAGGAGTAACAAAATCGTATAATTTCAACTTACCAAAATCAACACTTACTACACAGTTACAGCAATCAAAGCATGTGGTAATAGCATAAAGATAGGTTCATGCAGACCAATGGAATAAGTTTTAAGGTTCATTAATAAACACATGCTTTTACAGTAAATTGATTTTGAAAAAGGGGCCAAGAAATTTCAATGAGGAAAGAAAAGCCTTTTCAACAAATGATGCTGGGAAAATTGGATATCCACATTCCAAAAGATAAAGCTGGACCCCTAACTCGAATCACACACACACACACTACTCAAAGTGGGTCATACATCTAAATATACATATTAAACTACAAAATGCTTAGTAGAAACATTAGAGTAATTTTTTGTGATCTTGCATTAGACAAAGATTTCTTAAATTTTGCACCAAAGCACAATCAAGAAGAGAAAAATTGATGAATTATGCACCATCAAATTTAAAATGTTTTTTTCTCCAAACAGCAACATAAAAAATATAAAAATACAAATCACTGAATGGTAGAAACCACTCCAGCTGACAGCTTGATCAGATTTCTAGCCTCCAGAACTGTGAGAAAATAAATTTTTGTTGCCAAAAAAAAGAACAAGAAGGGAAGAGGTCATCAAAATCAAAATGTTGGCCAGGTATGGTGGCTCACATCTGTAATCCCAGCACTTTGGGAGGCCAAAGCGGGTGGATCACCTGATGTCAGGAGTTTGGAACCAGCCTGGCCAACATAGTGAAACCTGTCTCTACTAAAAATACAAAACAATTAGCCAGGTATAGTGGTGCAGTTATTTGGGAGGCTGAGGCAGGAGAATCGCTTGAACCTGGGAGGCGGAGGTTGCAGTGAGCAGAGATCTAGCCACTGCACTCTGACCTGGGCAACAGAGCCAGACTCCGTCACACACAAAAAAAAAAAAACAGTCCTAGGGTCTCTGCATTGTTCAGGAGGAGTACAGAAAAAACTGTCAGCTTCAGTCATTAAGTCAAATATGCATATGAAAATTATAAGGGTAACCACAAAGAATAAAGAAAACTCAAACCAAAAGGAGGCAGCAAAGGAACAGAAAAGCATCAGCCCAAAGGCAAGATAAATACAAGTCCCAAAATAAGATGATAGAAATAAATCCAAGGGTTAGGGCCTGGGTCATCACAGTACCCTAGGTTTAGGCCAAGGGGTAATCACAGATTATCAGTAATCACAATAAATATAAATGTACTAAACTCTCAAGCAATTATCAGAATGGATATAGGTAAAATGTAGCTATAATTATTTTCAAAAAATATACCTGAGACGTAGACAAAAAGCTTTAAAGTAAAAAATGGAACAAGGTGTTCCAAGCAAATACTAAACAAAAAAACAATAGACTTAAGGGGAAAAAAAGTATTATGAGACATAATAGGGTGACATCTCTAGTGCTTTAAACTTATTTCATCTTCTATAAAGCAAGAATAAGAAGCCATGCCTCCAGGCTAAATATGTCAAGTATATGTGATGTTAGATAGTGCAAAGTGCTAAGAAGAAGGAAAAAGAGCAGGAGGAAGAAGGCGGAGAAGACCTCAACAATGACGGCACAGACAAGGGGAATAGGAAATGTTGGAAGGGGGGCGTTAAATTAAAATTTTAGAGCCTTTGGGAAAAGACCTGAAAGAAGTGAGGAAGTGATCCATGGGAGTGTCTGGGAAGGTGACACTCAGGCAAAGGTAGTGGCAAATGCAAGGGCCCTAGGGAGTCTCGTGTGGCTGGAGTGGGAGGGAGGGGAACAGCGTTAGAAGAGGAACTCAGAGGCAGCTCCACTCCAGCGAGGTCACCAGGTCATGCAGGCCTTGAAAGCCATGGTTAGGTTCCTGAGTTTACTCTGAGCAAGGTGAGGGTTTTGAGCAGAAGAGTGAGTGAGTGTGATTATAGTTTTTAAAGATCATGCGGGCTGTAATGAGAGAGGATGAAGTGGAGCAAGAGCAAATACAGGAGACCAACTAGAAGGCAGTGCCATCATCCAGACAAAAGGATATGGTGCCTGGAAGAACCAGTGGCAGTGGAGGTGGTGAGGAGTGGTTGGATCCTGGATATATTTAAAGGTGGGACCAGCGGGATTAGCTGAAGGATTGGAGGTGAGTTGTGAGAGAGAGAAAGTGGTCAAACTGACTTCAGCCTTTTAAACCAGAGCTTCTAGAAGGATAAAGTTGTCATCTGAAATGGAGAATTCAGAGGATAGAGCAGCAACTGTGGCAGCGAGGGACGGGAGGGGATTGTGGAGGGTGTGTGTATCAGCAGTTTAGTTTTGGACATCTTAAGTTTGAGATGTCTACTAAGCATCCAAATGAGATTGCAATGCACAGTTAGACATATATGCCTGGCATTTACGGGAGAGTTTGGGCTGGAGATATACATTTGGTGGTCGTCAGGCTCTCAGCCATGAGCCCGGACAAGATCACCTAAGGAGTAGGTATAGAGAGAAGTCCAGGGGTTGAGTTCTCCAGTGTTCACATCCTGGGGAGTTGCAGAGGCACCCAAGACACAGACTGAGGATAAGCAGCCAGGGAGAGAATCCAGGAGAATGTAGAGGGCGTGGTGTCCTCCAAGCCAACCAAGTACAGTCTTTCAGGAAGGAGGGAGTCTTCAACTGTGTTACATGTGACTGATGGGCCAGGTAAAATGAGGGCTAAGCATTTTAACTCGTGGGTTTAACAACATAGGCTGGTCTGATGTAAAAAGAGAGCTGTGCCAATCAGATTCCCTGGTTCAGGCAATGGAAAAGGAATACTGAGAGACTGCAGCAGTGAACAATGGGAGCCAACGTGGATGGTCTTTTGCATTGCATTTTTTCCCCAGCATACAGTAAAAATAGCTAACCTTTATTGAATGCTGGCTATGTGCCAAGAACACTATTATGATGCCTATTTTTAAAAAGGGAAAGTGGGGCTCAAAAAAAGTCAAGTAACTTGCCCCAGGTCACTCAGCTGGTAAGTAGCCAAGCTGGAATTCAACCCCATCTCGTGTGTTTAATTACTAAACGGCACTGCTTCCGTCTAATTAAAGGGAAAGTCTGTACTTAGATATGGAACTCACATTTCTCAAATGCCATTTTCGGGCCAAGTACCTTGTGTTTGCATACATTTTCTCACGGAACTCTCACAGAACCCCTGCAAAATAACTGTCCCTACTATTGCCATTTTAAAGACGAGAAACAGAGGTGTTGAAAAGTGAGGTCTCTTGCTTGTGGTTCTTCAGGACAGAGGGGCAGGGTGGCAGAATTCAGGCCCAGATCATGTCTGAGACTGCAGCTTGGCCTGTGCCCTGTCTGTACAAATCAATCCTACCTTTTACACGGGGGCAGGGAGGAAGCAATCGGGCCTGTGGAGAGCCCCAGGGCACTGGAGTTGCCCTTACAAGCTCATCACTTTGAGGACACTTGGTGGGTTTTAAGGCTGTGATTCTCTGAGACTCCCAGCCTGAGTCAGCTCCAGGAGTCCTAAGGCAGGTTTCCCAGTTTCCCCAGAGCCAGGCCTGAGCTCTCTCCACGGGCAGACCCTCTGATTTTAAGTCCTAAGCTAAGCATGGCACTGAATCCCCTTTTCACTCTTTCCTCCAGGCATACTGGGCCTCTCCCTACCTGTCCAGTGGTGAGGGAACGGCTGTAGCCAGGGATGGAGCTCCGGGGGTGGATCCGGGGTGGGACACAGCAGCTGGGAAGGGCAAAATTCTGGAGTCAGAACAGTGGACTGCTAGGAGGTGGGGGAGGGGAGATAATAGCACTGGGGCCCCTGAGCAAGTCCTATTCCTCAGAACCCCCAAAGAGAGATCTCTTAGGAGATCCTGGGTAAAGAGACTCCCAAAAAGGCCCCAGAGAAGGACTCCCACCAAGACCCTCCCTTTATGTGGAGCAGAGTGAGACACCCTAGTTGAACCCTAAGCAGGACTACTTGACTTTCACCCACTCTACACACATCTCCCGCAGGAATCCAGCCTCAGCCTCCCGACCCGCACCCCCCGGCCCTCCCTGTCCTTACTTGATCCTGGCCTGGTCCACGCTGGAGGAGCGACGGGTGGTGAAGCGTCGGGCGACTGCTTTGGGAGATGTCTTGGGGCTGCCGTCTGAGTCTCCGCTCTCCTCATCCCCCATGGCTTTGATGTAGCTGCCGCTCCGCATCCTGCGGCAGGGGATCTCCCCATCCTTGCCACCAGTGGGGTAACCCCCCCAGTCATCTTGCGGCACCTGCAGGAACAGGGGCCTCTGTCTCTCAGACTTGACCCTAGTAAATCTAGAGGCCAGGACTCTTTCCCCACTGCCAGTGGGAGGTGCTCTGCCCTGGCTCGAACAGGCACACTCAGGTACATGCAGGGGCAGAAGGGGAGGGTCTCAGGCTGTCCCCCTCCCTTACAAGAGACACCTTGTCATCCTCCACAGACCTTCTGCACTTAATTAAGGGCCACCTAGAGAGTCTGAGGGAGTGACATGACAGGCGTCAAGCAGTTGATGATCAGAGGCCAAAGTGACCTGTGTCAATTCCATGCCCGGCAGTCAGGCATCACCTGACCTCAGTCAACCTTCTACCCTTCCTTTTCCTTCATCCTTTCAACCTGCTTACATTCCAAATCCTCTCTCCTTCCCCGCTGTGGGGAGCCACAGAGGGCTTCATGCAGGGGAGTGACATCAGATTTGTGTTGCAGAAAGAGCTCTCCCACAGTCCAAACAGAGGCTGGATTGTGGAGGGCCAGGAGCAGGGCAGAGGCTCAAGTGGCGAGAGGACGACCAATTAGGAGGCTGACGCTGTTATCCAGGCAAGAGATGATGAGGCCTAAATTAAGACAATGACAATGAGGGGGAAGAGAAGGAGATGGAAATGAGAGGTGTTAAGGAGCATCAGTGAGCCTGATTAGACGTGGGGGATGAGGGGGCGGGAGGAGTCGAGGATGACTGCCAGGCTGCTGGCTGAGGACCTGGAGGAGGGTGCTGCCGCTCACTGAGCCATAGAACCCCAGAGAAACAAGTCTGGGAAAAGGTGGTAGGGTCGGGGTTGAGCACCTTGAGCTTGGCATAGAACTGTTGAGCAGGTGGTTGGATGTTTGGTTCTGGGATTCAGTGGGGAGATCGGGGTTGGAGGCGGACATGTGGGAGTCATGGGCGGCAGCTGAATCCATAGCAGTGAATGAGACAGCCCAGGGGAGAGAAGAAGAGAGATGAGCAGAGATCCACTGACATTTAAAAAGGGACTGTGAAGAAAGGAAGAGGAGCCTGTGAAGTCACCTGAGAAGGAGTGGGCAGAGGGGTAGGAGGGAAGTCAGGAAAATGCCATGTCATAGAAACAGGAGACATTTCAAGAATAAAAGGAGTCGATTATGTCAAATGCCACAGTGCGTTCAGAGGTTAGTAACTCAGGCTCGGGAGTTAGAAGATTCATGTGCAATTCTGGCCCCATCACTTGCTGGATAGGTGAACTTAAGCAAAACGGATTAACCTCTAAGTGTCAGTTTCCTTGTCTGCGAGTTGGTCATGATACTTATGCCTACATCGGAGGGTTGGTGGCAAAGATAAATGAGCCAATAGAGTTTCCAGGACATAGAAAGTGGTCAATAAATGGTAACAATTATTATAGGCACCAAAAAGTACCTTTTGAAGACAGCTCTCAAGAGATCATCTGTGGCCACTGCCAGGGCATGTCAATGACAGGAAGTGTAGGAATCAGACCACAGTGAGGGGAGAATTGAAGGAAAGTGAAGAAGAGGCGTCTATGCTCTAAGAACTTGATTATGAAGGACATGGAAGGTGGGATGGAGCTGCAGAAATATTTTTTAGGATGCAAGTAACTTTGGACATGTTTTCAGGATGACAGAAAGAGCCAGTAAAAATAGTCTTTAAACCTCAGAAGGGAGGAGAACAGTTCAGGGATGGAGGGGGTCATGAGGAGATGGGCTCAAGCCCTGGAGGAAGGATCAGCCTGGGATGGGTGGTCCCAGCTTTTCCTATGAGCCAAGGAAGGGGATGAGGGTGGCTGAGAATCTGGATGTGTCTAGAGAGATGCTGTCAGGAAGCTGAGGGAGTCTGTGATGTCAGCCTACACTTCGGAAAATGAGGTGTAAGTGAAGACGTGGGGGAGAGGTCTGGGGGAGGTAGGGAGGATTTAAAACCCTTGTTGTAAAGAACAGGTTAAATGGGGTAGGGATGGGAGCTCCAAAAGGGGTAACACCTCAGGGACAGCATAGGGTTCAGGGGAAAGGTGGAGACTCGGGATGAGAAGGAACCCACGGGGAGGAGCAGGCCTCTTCGAGGGGCTGGGGCTCAATCGGAAGATGAGAAACAAAGAGATGAGGCTCCATAAAGAAACGGGGGCTCAGAGTGGACAGAGGGATTCTGGAAGAGGCTTAAGACAAAGCTGGTATCCAGTGGGAGAAACAGGGCTTCAACAATCGGATTGGGAGTCCGACAAAGACACCTGGCCACATGTGGCCAGTCTCCCCTGCTTTTGTACCAGGGGAGCACGAGGCTTTCTGGAGGGTCCCTGTAGCCCCTTGGTTCTTCCCCACATGGGCTCAGACATCCCAGTCCTCAGATACCCTGGAACTCCAGATCAGAGGGATCATTCCCCTTCCCCATTCTCTACAGAGAGCAGCAGGCAGATGGAGAGAGGCAGGCCAGCAGATGGGAAGGCCACACTGCAGGGTTCCCACTCTAGCCACTGCAGAGCTCCTCACTCCTCTGCAGGACACTGTGAGGTGCATGTTAAAAAGGAAGCCCCCAGGGAGGTCAGGGCAGCCCTGGAGAAGCAGCAGGGAGCAGCGAAATGGCAGTGAGTCTTCAGGGATGGCAAGGAGTCGGCTATGGGGGAGAAAGGATGGGTGTTCCCTCCCTGGACCCTTCAGTTCCCAGCTTAGAGCACCTCCCTACCCAGGGAGGGGGCAAACCAGGCCAATCCAGAAGTCCTGAATCCAGAAGTCCCTTCTTATTTGCTCTGTGGCCCTATGTGCTCCCTTGGGCCTTCATGAGTTCTCCAGGAGAGCCCTAACTTGTGCACAACTTACCTAGCAAGGCCAATGTCCCACAAAGACACACACAGACTCTATTTTCCACACCTTGGAACATGCTGTATAGTCTCTTCCCAGAATACCTTTAGTCGGCACTCAACAACTGCAACTCCTCCACCGAGATTCAGCTCAGGGAACATTCCTCACCCAGGTCGGTGAGGTGTCTCCTCTGTGTTCCCAAGAAGCCCAGGGCTCTCTCCTATCACAGCCTCACCACGCTATATTCTATCTGCTTCCTTGTCTATTCCCACTGTACACTGTGAGCTCCTCACAAGCAGCATCTGTATCTTCATCCTTGTATCCACAGCACCCAGAAATGCTCATTGAATAAATAGATCTGTAGCAGCTATGTGGAATGCAGAAATACACTGAACCTCCAGAACTTGTATTGACTTTTTCTCCTAAAATTATGGCATGACTTAAGAAAACGATGTAGGCTGGATGAGGCTGGGGTGAAGGCTCCATAAAAAGTAGGAATCAGAGCTCCTGGCCTCACCTGCAGAGACCATAGAGATGGTAAGACAAGATGAGAACAGCATGCCAGCTATCACCTGCACCGTCCACTCCCAGGAGGCCCTGCCTGAATTGTATCAGGGCTGAAATCCAGTTTGTCCCCTAACCTAGGAAAACACATGAGACACATGAAACTCCCAGGACCCCTCCACAGCTTCGGCTGTCCCACCACAGGTACCCCGGAATGACAAACTTCAGCAGAGGCACATTCTGGAAATAACGGATCTTCATATTCAAACATGTGGGCCACCCGGATTATAGCAGAAAAGAGGGCTGGAGAAGGCTTTGCTTTCCAACTGCTGACCTTCAATCTTAAGAGCAGCCACAGCTAAGGTGCACCTCAGTATCCTGTCCACTGCCTGTCCTCAACTTCATTATGCCTCCAACCTCCAAAGACAGAGATCAGCACAGCCTGTCCAAAACAGTAGGTCAAGCGGAAGTCTCCAGGGACTGACACATCATTAGAACAGAAGGGCCCTTCATGGCACACATAGGGAAAGTGAAGCCCCACAGGAGCTCAGAGTGACCCAATGGGGCAGGGCAGAGCCTCCCGGCATCCAGGCCCTCCATCACAGGGACAGCTGGCTCTCACCCAACACTTTCCACTGCTCCCTGGTTGACAAGACTGGTGAAGGCTGAGGACCCTGTTCCCCAACCCCCAAAAAGCCTCACCTGCAGATAGTGATAAGTCCTGGCTTTGGCCTTGGTCTCCGGACCCAGGAGCCCCTTGCCTGGCCCGGCCCCCGGGTATCCATCCCGGCCCTGGCTGACCATCATGGTATGCCAGGCACTTCGCTTGACCGACTGTCCATCCAGTGACATGGACATGCCAGTGCAGGCAAGGCAGCGGCCTTCTGACCCGCCCGAGCGCCCCTTGAAGCTCAAGTCCCGGTAGGACCCATCTGGACCCTCCAGGCAGAAGGGACCACCAGGCTCCCCAGGGGGCCTGCCACCCGCCAGGAAGCCGCTATCACTGTCCAAGTTGTCATCGGAGCTCCACCAGCCTGTAGACTTGGCCTGATGCCGCCCATCCCCCTTGCGGTCCTTGCTCTTGCTCCTCTTGCCGTGCCGGGACTGGTGGTGGTGGTGATGGTGGTGGTGATGGTGGTGGTGGGAGGTGTGGGGGCCTCCGGAGCCTGGGCCAGGGTAGCTGTCTCCTCCAGAGCCACCTCTTCCCTCAGCCTTGGGCCCATTATAGTCCCGCTTCCCCGGCGCCTCCAGAGAGTGGGACTTGGCAAAGAGCTTCTGCACAGAATGAACCAGGTGCCGGATGCGGCTAGGGCTCTCGCTGCGGGGCTCTGGGGCAGTGCCAGTCCCTGGCGCTGGCCCGGGCCCTGCCCCTGCTGGCCCTCGCTGGTATGGTAGTGTGTGGAAGCCATCTTGTTGAACTGGCAACTGCTTTTCAAACTGATCCAGGAGTGTAGGAGGCAGGCGGGGGGCACCCTTGCCCTGTGGGTGGCCCACACAGTCTTCACAGGTGTCGAAGGGGCTCTGGCCAGGGTACATCCTGGGGAAGGTGCTGCTACCCCCCCCAACCCCGGCCCCCCCTGGCCCTCCCTCAGGGCCTACCGACGGCCCCTCACTCAGGCTCAGGGGCCCTTCAGGAGAAATGTGTCCCAGGCCAGCTCTCGGGGCACAGAAGCGGGGCTCAGTGGAGAAGGCCTCCCTGGAGCCCAGCAGGTATGGGGCCCTGGCAGCTGGGCCCACGTCCATATGCTGCTGGTCAGCAAAGCGGGCTGGGCGGGGATGGCTGCCTCGGTCGCCATGGTAACCCCTCATGGCCTCAGCAAAGGCTCTTCATAGTCTTGGGGGCCAGGCCCCAGGAACCTCCTGGAAAAATAGGGAGAAAAGGTATTTGAATTGAACAGCCCTCTTCACCTAAAACCATCTTTTATTAGGCATCCTTGTATCCCTTTAGGTAATACATATCAATTTATTATGATTAATTTTACTATCCTCCCACAAATGGACTAAAAACTCCTTTAAACAGTCATAATAGACAGATAGACACTCAAGGGCACAAAGTAATCCCATCATTCAACGAATGCTGCAAATCCGATAAATACTTATTCACAGGAGGATATTCCCTCAGTCAAATGGGTTTTTAAGTGTCCTTAGAGACTGGGCACAGTGGTTCACACCTGTACTTCTAGCACTTTGGGAGTCCAAGACAGGAGGATCACTTCTTGAGCACAAGAGCTCAAAGCTGCAGTGAACTATGATTGTATTATACCACTGCACTCCACCCCAGGCAACAGAGCAAGACCTGGCCTCTAAATTTTTATATATATATATGTTTGATTTTATATTTGTAAATGTATATTAATAAATATTTATAAATGCATATATATTTATATATACATAGAAATATTTACATATATACATATATACACATTTATTTGTAAATATATAGATATACTTTGGGATGTGTGTTTGTGTGTATGTGTATATCCTTAGTTTACCAAAAACAAAAGGATACCCAGGGAGACATAAAATATTCAAAGGAACCAGTCTTTAGGTGAACTAGCTTTTAACAAGCTAGCATTAGGCAAATAGATCCACAGCCACATCTCTACCCCAACCCTGCCCTACACCCCACTGTTGCAAGAGCCAAGCCTCAGGGTCACAGCTCCCAGCTGCTGTGAACAAAGAGAACACTGGACCCAAATCTACATATCTAGCACCATCCTACAGAAAAATCCCTCCCCTTCCTTCCATGCCCTGTGCATTCCATCTGGCCGCAGGCTCATTCTCCCTCCCCTGTGGACTGAAATAAGGAGAATCTGAGATGACTCTTCCTCCTTCCTCTTCTGGGTTCCAAATATTTCCCCCATGAAATTACCCCTTTTGCCTTTTACCCCCCACCCTCCACTCCCATTCCACTGGAGGGGAATCATGAAGGAGGAAAATCCGTGAAGAAGAACAGCAGCTACACAAAGTAGCATCTGAATCCTAAACTGGGATTGGAACCCAGGAGTTCCTCCTCCCAGGAACAGAGGGAATGCAAGACAGGAAAGCGATGGAGAAAAAACTCAGGAACCAGTGCTCCTGGCCTCCATCCCAGGCTTGCCAAGGCTACAGGACAGAGAGGTCAGCTCTCAGCAAGAGCTGCCTCCAATCAGGACTCCAGGAGCTGCCAGGATAGGAGCTACGGCAGGAGGGAGTGACAGCAGGAGGGACAGGGACAGAGGAGCTGGCAGACGGTGCCCTCCCTCATCCTCGACCAGGCTCCTGGGCCATCTGCTGACTAGGAGGGATGACAGCCTCAAAGGCTCCAGACAGCGGCACCTCCGAGACTCATTCTCTTTCTCCCTACCACCACCTCCCCACACCCACTTTTCTTCAGATCCTGCTCATCCCTCATCTCCTACTATTTCCCAAGTACTTGCTATATACCAGGTATTGTGCATACCTGATACTCTCTAATCTTACTGAAATCTTGTAATGCAGATATTATCCACACTTACCCATGAGAAAATTGAGCTCAAAATGGTGAGGTCACACAGCCAGTAAGTGGATGAGTCACTTTGAATCAAGATTCAAACCCATTATTCTGGCATGAGAACCTGAGTCTAATCCCCGCTCCCAGACTCTTCTATCACTCACCATCCAGGGTGTCCCATCCTTGATGTCAGGATCCTCACCACCAGGCAGAATCCTAACTTCAGAAGGCTCAGGACCACTGGTTCCTGATGGAAAAGAAAAGGATGGTAAGCAAAAGGGGAGAGATGTTTTCCCACAGTCCTCAGAGGACTGGTCTCTGGCCCTGACAGTTTCCCTTCCCAACCCCCCCAAAACCAGGACTGATTGGATCCGCCATGATGCAGAGCCTTTGAACCCCCAGGGAAATGAGGTTGGCTTCATTATTCAAATACATGCAAATGAGCTTACAGGTTGGACTACCTCCAACTGCAGGTGTCTGTGGGATCTGTCCATGGTGCTGAGCCACTGCATTTTTTTTTTTTTTTTTCCATTGCCCTCAAATATGATTCCATTCCACAAACATTTGTTGAACAGCTACCATAAGCAAGAGAGTGGGAAGTGTATAGAGGTGATTTAAGAGTGGTCCCTGTCCTCGAGGGGTTTATAGTCTAACAGGGGAACAACCTCTCACGTGACAGAGTTATTTCAGGCCACTTTATTTTTGCACAAACTGTACCCTCCTCCTAGAATTTCCTTTCATCCACCTCAAAGCCCTCCCCCTGGCTAACACTTACTCATATTAAGCCCCACCTTCCCTTAAAGACTTTCTGTGCTCTTATTCTAGGTTATGCTCTTTATCGGGCTTTTATAACACCCTGGGTGTCCCCATGAAAGCAGCCTTCACACTGCATTGAAAATGTCTGTTTTGGTTTCTGTCTCCCCACTTAGAATGTGGTCTTCTTCAGGATAGGAACTAAGTCCTATTCATCTCTGCATCTCCAGCACCTAACTCAGGGCTTTGCCCAGAGCCAGTCCTTAATAAACATTCACTAAGTAGACGAACAAATGACTGTGCTGTAAAGAGGTACCAAAATGTTAGGCTACGTCAGATGAGGATGGGACCAGATTCAATAGAGGGCAGTCAAGGAAGACTTCTCAGAGGAGAGGGTGTTTGTGATGGAGTACAAGATGTCTGTGTGTCCCATACACATAGGTGATGGGGAAGAGAACCTACCCAGTGGAGGAAACAACAAGCACAGGGAGAAGAGGTGTGCAAATAGGGAATTCTAAGGAGTAGGCTCAGAGGGTTCTGGCAGACAGGGAATGGCAAATAGTGGGAATAGGAGAGAGAAATTCAGAAAGTAAGACGACCCTGAAGTTTGCAGCAGCCGTGACTGGAAGACTAATGATGCCATTATTAGACACAGGGACATCAGGAAGAAGAGCTAGCTTTGCAAGCATGATTAATAGTAGTAGAAGAGGCACAGTCAGACATCAGGAAGAACTTCCTGACCCTGAAGGATATGAGACAATGAAGAAGACTGTGGTTTCCTAAGAATCTTCCATAGAGGACAGGGTGAGACATGCCCAGCCCCTGGCCCACCCTGGAGCCTGGACTGTAGAAGCTGTTGGTTACACTGCCTAAAGGGAGACTGGGGTGACCTCACAGATACCAGCTGCCTGGCTCTGGATGACAATTCTCCTCCATTGCCCTTCTTTGGGGAAACAGAGGGAATTTCAGGTCAAGATGGCCTCTCAAGTAGTTGTTGAAAAAGCACTTGGAAGCATCTCTCTACCTTGGAAAGAAGACAGAAAGACAGCCTGGTCCTTCATCCATGTCATTCTCTTTCCTCTTCCTGCCCCAGGCAAGACCTGTATCTGAGACTCACGGCACAAAAGGCCACTTTGACAGAAGCCCAGATCGTCCCATTTGCTCTGTGTGTGGCGACATCAAGCTAGGGCCTCATGGAACTTCCCAGGGGTGGACATTCCCAGGTGCCCCTCTGTCTCCTGCTTCACGCAGGTGCTGCTGGCAAGCTGTTCAGCTTTCATCAAGATCCTATGAAACTTCAGCCCCTCTGGCATCAATCCACATTCTCCTTGCTCTTGTCTTGGAGAAGATGAGCCCTATAATTGCTGCTCTCCAGACAGATCACCCCTCAACTCCTTTGCCCAGATGCTACAGGGCAGCCCTGTATAGTGAAAAAGCACAGGTCCTGAGACCAGAACGTATGTGACACCTGACGTACCAGAGGCGGCCCACCCTCTCTAAGCCTCAGGATACCTGCTCACCTATCTCCCAGGATTTCAATGAGTATCAAATAATAAAATCACTCTTACAAACTCTAAAAGATTAATACAGTGTAATCCCTCATGAGAAGCCTTTCTTTGGATTTACAAAATCCCCAGTGTCCAAATAGTAAACAGTATAATCAAAATCCAAATTACTGGGAGCAGGAGATATCCAATTTATGGATTTTCTAAAGAAAATATTTAATTAACAACTGGCTTCCTCCTATATATTATGCTTTATGATCACATTCCTCCCCCCACATCACTCGCCTTCACTCCATTACTAAACAAAATCAATGGGAGGGAAAAACAAGTGAGGAAGAGACTAATAATTCAGTCCATCACCATGCCCTATGGATTTTGCTTCCTAAAAAAAAAAAAAAACAACAGATGTGCCCATTTATTCCATAATCACCATATCACTGTTGGCTGACTCGTTAAAACTCATTCCCAGCCTCCTTGTCCTTAACTCGGCCTCCTTTGTAACTAGAGGCCACATGATTCCATTTTGGTTAATGATATATACATGGAAGCATAATGAGGGTTTCTGGGAAAGACTTTGCCTTTGTGACCAAAGGGGCAGGAATTGCTAGTGCCATCTTTCCTCCCCTTATTTTTAGCTTGACTACAACCATGATGGCCAGAGCTAGGGCCGCTATCTTGCCACCACAAGAGGCCTAGAGAACTGCAGAGATGTCAGTTCTGACATCATCCGGCCATGGAACCAACGTGAACAGTTGCTTTACTCCAGGTCTACATGTGATAAGGAATGCGCTCTTTATTTAAACCACTGTTGGCCAGATTTCCTGTAGTATTTGCAGCAGAAAGCACTGCTAATGAATCCAACTGTTCCTGAGAACACCATCTCCTGCCTGCATGCCTGCACGTCTTCTCCTAACTGGTCTCCCTGCTTCCGTTCTTACCCCGCTCCAATCCAAATGGTCACTTGAAAATGCAAATCTCATCATGTCACTTCTCTGCTTAAAACTCTTCATTGGTTTATTGATGTTCTCAGGATAAAATGCCTTCACTTGTCCAACAAGACCTGCAGGGTCTGGCCCTTCCTACTTTTCCAACATCCTCTCACAACATGCTCCCCTTGCTTTCTCTGCGGCAGCCAGGACAGTCTTTTGTCAGTCCCATGATCCCTCGCATCACGCGGCCTATTCCCCCTGTTGGGAAAGCTTTTCCTACCCACCTCTGCCTTGCTAACTCCTACACACCCTTCAGATCTCAGCCCAGTTGTTGCTTCCTCGGGGAAGCTTTCTCTGGCCTCCCTGACTAGGTCAGATCCCCCTGCTGTTTGCTCTCAAGGCACCATGTACCTGTCTCTTATACTGTTACCATTTAAAATATGTGTGACTCCTAGATTGTCCGTCTCTCCCACTAGAATGTAAGCTCCACATAAGTGCAGGAATTGTATCCGTCTTATCCACTGAATTGTCCCCAGTCCCTAGAACAATCCTTAGCATATGGCAGGCATTTGCTGAGTGCATGTGAGTCTATAAAGAACAAGATCCTTTCATTTATGATATTTTGTGTGATTCCCACAACTATTCCAAGGGATAGGTATTGTCCGCCCCCCACCACCTTCCAGTGTACAGAAGAAGAAACTGAGATTTGGAGAGGCTAACTTGAGCTCCCCAAGATCACACTGAGAGCTGCTGTCAAAGCCAAAAGTCAAATCCAGTGTTGGCCGATTTCAAAGCCTTAGCTTTTCTCCTATCTGTGTTGCCAGCCCAGAGAAGTCAAACTTATTCAATGCCATTCTGAAGTGAGCACAGTAATGAAAGTGAATATGTTTTTTTTAAAAAGTAAACAAACAAATAAAAAGACCTCATCCATACATATCTCCCAGAGCTAACCAGAGTGTGATTTAGCCTTTTCCCATGTGTGGTGAGCACTGAGTTTACACTAAGCCCAAGGTCAGATTAGTATAGAATAAAGGACACTCCCTGAAGTCCTATGACAATTCTGGGTGCTGGTGTTATTTTCTCATTTTTATTGCACCAAGTCATCCATCCACTATCCCAGGACACAGAGAGCTGCCCGAATGGTGAGAGGGCCGAGGGAAGCAGCCACTTTTGCAGTAGTCTATGGTTGGCTGGAAAGTGGTGAGTGAAGGAGTCTGGGAGGGTGCCGTGTGTGACAAATTCTTCTCTGATGCAGCTCAAATCTATCTGGGAATGGAAGAAGTGGCACAGATGCCGTCACCAAGAAATTACCCAATTTAGCACCAACTACACAATCCAGCAATTAGTTTCTTAAACCGGAACTTGCTGGGGGCTGCCAGGCTGGCGGGGTTGTTGTTACAAATCTCACTGGGAAACCAGCTGTGTAATTCGCCAGGAGATTGTCACTGCCCCAAGCAATTACCTTCCAGAAAAAGAATGGAAAATGGGAGAAGGAGTCAGAGTGTTTTCTCTCCCTCTCCCCTAGGGACCTGCCCAGCCAAATCGGTTGGTTTTCCTTTCTTGAGAACTAGGCAACTCACAGACTCCCTTGATTAAAGCAGTTATTGGTATGGACTCTGCCATCAGACTCTGTGGGCTCAAATCCCTTTCCACTCACTTAATGGCTGTGTGTACTTAAGTAAGTGATTCACCTCTCTTAACCCGTTTCCTCATCTGTAAAATGGGGATAATATTAGAGCCATAATAAAGGTGTGAATGGTGTAAGGTTTAACAAGGTAAAGCATATAAATCCCTTAGCACTGTCGCTGGCACATGATAAATACTCACTAACGGTAGCTATCTTTATCATTGTTTCCTCCATTGGTTTACAGTGACATTGGGTAGGTCACTTAATTTCTCTGGATGACCATCTAAGACCAAAGATACTCACCTGGGGAAAAGATAAGGCATTCTTACTCTAGACTGTCCACATCTGGGTACCCAGAGATTCAGGTGTGTTTGACAAAGGCCAGTATCTCAGCGTTTGGCACAAAGTGATGCCTTGGGCCAAGATGAAGATT